GTTAAAATTACTAAAAACCTGTTACAAAATGGTCATTCACGTTACGTACTTTAAGCGGAGATTATGACGTACACAATCGTCCTACTACTCCAAAAATCCACACATTTCTTAAGAAATTTGAAGAGACTGGTTCGGTAACGCCTGTGCAACATCGTTTTTCTAGATCCACCTCAAATATCGCTGCAGTAAGTTCTCGACGTTCGCAAGAGCTGTGACTTTTTTACGGCACATAACGGCGTTTTTGAACTCGGACTTCATTCATTTAAAGTTCTGCTTCACACCTCGTACATACTTCGTTTCGGTGCTAGAACAACAAGCAGTAGACGGCAAACTTACAAACAGAGTTTTCTTCAGCGATGAGATACAATTATCAACCTGGGGATACGTAAATCAGGCCAAATGTCTAATTTGAAGCACCGGAATTCCTTAAAAAATAAAAGAGACGCCATTACACCAAAAAAATAAAAAAAAATTCTCTCTGGTGTTCTCTTTGACCCGGAGGTGTGATTGGAAGTGAGTTCTTTGAAAAAAAAAACAACAACGGCAAGACAGGCATTGTCAAGTCGCGCAACAATATGTTTGTGTGATAACTGAATTTTTTTTACCGGCAATTGAAGAACGCGACTTAGACAATGGGTGCTGCGTCATGCCACACCTCATGAGCAAATATGGCTTTATAGCAAAAGGAATTTCCCGCCTGCGTAGTTTCTGGTCTTGTCGATGTCACTGTTCACCAGGATTGCGCGATTGTGATACCTTTGGACTTATTAAGGTTATGTGGATAAACAATTAACTCTTGAGCACTTGAAAAGTAGCTATCGTCAAGCTATGGTGGAGATACAGTTCAAGTCAATGCCAAAAGATGGTCGAAAATTACATCAAACGGTTTGAAGTAGGCAAAAATTCACGAGGCGCCCACTGACTGTCAGCACTGACATGGTACCTAAGCCATAAGTTCGCCGACCGTTTGTTTAATGACAGCAGATATATCTTCTTGTCCGTCCTCGTTCAATGCCAACCCTGGCAAGCTAGAATGTCTCTGACACCAATGATTGACCCTTAGTTTGGACTTCACAACAACTTACTTGCGCCAGAACAACTTTCATTCTTTGCAGTTCTTGTTCAAAGTTCAATAATTTTGGGAAAAAAATTTGCTGGTAGCCATACTCATAACTGGATTCGACGATCCCTAAAGATCAATTTTTTTTACTTTTCAGCATTTTCTTCGATTATTGATGTGGTTCCGAGACGTCCTGGGAGTTCGTCTTCTTCAATGTCCTCACGGCCTTTCTAGCGATGATCATACAACTCACCGTAGACCTTTTTTAATATTTCACATACTTCGCTTCATTTTTTTCTTCGATCCATTTCCTGTAACAAACCAAATTCGCCGAGCTCATAGAAACAAATCTACCCTTGGTGACTGGAGTAAATTGTGAAAAAATCAGAAAATAACATCATATATAACGACGTACTAGGTCGTAAGGAGCCGACATGGCAAAGGGACGAACTATTTGTCGTTGAACTGATCCAATTGATTTTAGAAATCTCTTGGTTTTTAAGGAGGAGAGGTTTTTTTTTTTAGACGTGTGTGGTTTTCAATGAGACAACTCACTCTTTATCGGGTTTCATTTTGGTTTGCCATTTCATAATAGACTTGATCCATATTTCTTCAGAAATGTAGCCGATCACAATGCTCCATTGAATGGGGAATGCTATAGAGACATAATTAAAGCCTTCTCAAGAATCGAAGGAAATTGATGAGAACAACCTTTGGTTCCACCAATACGACACTGCATGCCATACAACTAACGAAACAGTCAAGATACTGGCCTCCAAGTTTGAATGATTTAACACCGCTAAACTGTTTTTTGTGGAATTATACTGATTCGCTTGTTTACAGCGATGAGACCGAGACGATGGGAAAGAATATTCGGCGCGTCAAGTAAGAAGTCATTCATTATTTTTGCATTAAATTTAAGGTCTTAAGTTAGAATTGTTCATTTCATGTCAAATATGTACCGTTTTGCTCGATAGTGGTTTGTCATTTTGAAGGTAATTTCATAAGACCTCTCCCATGGGAACTCTAGTATCTTTTAGAAAAAAGTTTGGACAAACAATTTTTACCGACTTCTCCTGAGGCCAATTATCGACCATCCAAATCATTTGCCGAAGACACGAACAAGATGTTAATCACTGTTGAGTTGAGTTGATGCGACTGCCGGTCAAACCCCAGCACATTCATTGTGATATCGCTGAGGCTTCTTTGTCCAGGTACCCAGACCACGGCAGTACTATACTTCATTGAGACTTTGTTGAGAGTGTTTCTACAGTTTTTGGCCGGTTTTGACGTGGTACCGTTACATTGCAGAGATCTGATTGCAGCCTGACTATCGGAGTAGATTGTTACTAATTGCCCAGCTGTCATAGACTTGTGCAGCCATTTCGCGGCCTCTATGATTGCGAAGAGATCCACCTGGAAAACGCTGCAATGATCCGGTGTTCTCATACTCATGCTTACTGAAAGCACGGGAGAAAAAATTCCGCAACGCACCCTCCCATCGAGCTTCGAGCCATCTGTGAAGATGGCTATTGCTCTCTGGTTGGGGGCGCTGGTGTTTTCCCACTCGCATCTGTTTGGGATTCTTGTGGAGAAGAGATTATCGAAGCATATACTGGAGGTGGTGTAGTCCAGCTCCTTTGGCACTTCTGCAAGAAATGTCATATAATAATCACCGTTGCGCGGTGTAAATTACAAGGTGTATGCATAAGAACCGCACAACCAAACTCTCGGAGCTTCTGGCCAGTAACTATCGATGTGTATTGTCTGGCGGTGTCGTAATGACACACAATTCCCCTCCTCTTGGTCAATGCTAGTTCCTTCTGGGCGATTGTAAATTCAAACGTTCCAATCGCTCACAGCAGAGGTCCCAGTTGGGAGTTTGACCATAAGGGATCAGCTTAAGGTGGATAATTCCTTGCCCATCTAACCAAAAACACGCAACCAAAACCTTTCTGACAATCAATTTTGGCTTGGAGACCGTTTGCGCTGCCTCACTGTCATTTTGCCACGAACGTTTTGTGTCTTGTTTTGTCCATTTTTCTTCATCAATCAATCGTGGTTGGGAATTCTGTTCGTGAGGTTTTTATCGCGTTCACTCAGGTGAAACCCATACATCGAGCTTTTTTGTGTATCCAGTCTTTTTCATGTGGTTACGAGCTGCTTTTTGTGCAATATTTAGTTCCTAGGCAATCGAAACAGCGCACGCAGGATTACCAGACTTTGCGATTTCAATTATTTTAACGAAATTTTAGATAATTGGCCTTCCACACCAAGAAGCATCATCTACATAAAAATGACCGGAACGTAATTCAAGAAATCAAAATTATGCGGTCACAATAACAGTACCATAAATTCGTTTCCTATTATCACTTGTAGAATAAAAAAGAAGAAGAAGAATATAGAAGAAGAAGAAGAAGAAGAAGAACACCTGTTGTACACCTTTGGCATGCGCTCAAACACTACTGATTTACTCGTTAGTTATCAACACTTCGTGCGTTATAGTTCTTACCACAAAATATCAGTTTTCTAACGCCATCTAACGCATTCCAATAGCTCTCATATAACTCGACATAAAGATCACTAAAGCCATCTATTGCAAAAATAATGGATGACTTTTTACTTGACCAACATTTAGCCAACTTACTTTTCTTCAATTAATACTGTGGATTTTTCCGTTTACGTACTTTCTCAAGAAATCATTTTAATATTTATAAATATAAGTCAAACAACAATAACAAAAGCGAATTTTTGACTTGTCAAAACTTTTCAAAATGATTAAATTTCAATGTGCAATAAATTCCTGTTGCTTAAAAATAAATTTCTCATTTGATATGTAATGTACATATCTATATGTGTTGTGTATGTACAATATAATTGTTTAGAGCGTAAGGTGAAGAAATGTTTTTTATTTGTGCTAGAAAAAAGTGAAAACAATTAATTAAAAGGATTTAATACTCATATATATATATATATATATATCATATATTTTCTTCATTTGCTAACTTCTTCTCTCAATCACTTTGCATTTTATTAATATCAATTAAATTTATTCAATAAACAAGTGCATATAAATATGTTTAAATTCAATACATGTATGTATGTATGTATGCATTTATATATATATATATAATAATTCTACTAAAACTAAGCGCCTAAATACCTTGCCTTGTATTTTACGTGTATGTGTGTGTGTTGCATTGTAAGTGTGTATGTATAATGTTGCATTAATAATTTTTGGTCTTTTTGATATTCTAAATGTACTTTATTAAGTATTTATAATATTACATACATATGTATTTATATGTATTTGTGTGTAGCTAATTACGTGCTGAGCGCTTTGTGCTCTTTAATTTTTGTTTTTATTTTTTGTATTTCTAAATTGAAATTGAAATTGAAATTTAAATTCAAATTCAAATTCCGCAAAACATTTGCAACCATTCAAAATTTATGCATTCTCAGCTTCACTTAATTTCAAATATTTCAACTCACCACTTAAGAGACTAAATTAATTTAATTTAATTGTTTGTGTTATTTTAAACATATATATGTATATATGTATAATAATATTATAATAATAACATTTTTAATGATTTAATTACATTAACTACATTAAATCCCCTTTTAAATATATATTTAGCATAAAAACTAAAGTGCTTATTTTGTGTATATTGTATATGTGTGCGTGTGTGCGTGTGTAATTTTTATATAACACATTTTAATTGTTTTATTTTGTTTTGTTTTTTTTTCCGCGTTTTTTGTCTTTTCTTAATGTCTCTACTAACTACAACTTGCCGCTGTATTTCACCATTCACTCTCTACCATATTCACCTTTAATATGTAAGTATGTATTTATGTTTACGTCTATATGTATATTTCAAATTCGTAATTTATATATATGTAAATTAAGCTTTGCACTTACTTAGACAAAAATAAATTTTTTTTTTTAATAATAAAAACAAATTCGTTGCACTCAAAAAAGTAAGTATAAAATTATAAAACAAAAATAACACAGCAAAGTATTTCTGCATTCTTTCATCTATCTTATTCTAATATTTACACCGCCCAGCGCAATTGCGATACTTGAAAGCATGAAAATAAACGCGCGACCGAACTGCAACTGTCGGTGGCTCACGCCGTCATCGGCGATGCCATCGTGACACATTTCGGGATGTCGCGTGAAGTCTTCGCAATAAAGCTGTTGAAAGAGAAAAAAAAAATTCAAAAAAAAAAATTTAGTAAATTATTTGAAAAAAAAAATCTTAAAAAGAAAATTAAAAAACAATATTTTTTAATTACATTTTATTAATTGTTATTCACATAAAGTTGATATTAATATTTATTATTAATGACTTAATAATTATAAAAATTAAATAATCACATTTTATTGAATCACACTCTATGACTCAATCGGAAGCGACTAGCAAATTCAGCTAATTCTTCCTCTTCTTAATTGATGTACAGACAGTTTACACGTTAAGAAAGAGCAAAGGACAACAGATCACTCACTCTCCATTTTTTCTTTCGAGTTCTTTCTCTTTCTCAGATTTACCAGCAAAAATTTTCAAAGCATATGCGCGGTCTCTCCATTCGCTACACTAAATTAGTGATCCCGTATCTCTCGTACAACTGCTTTTCTAGGGTTTGCTGGAGTTATGGCATACCATAAATCTTAGAAAAATCTTTCTTTAGAGAACACCTAAAGCCAACTAAACTGATTTTATCATCGATCAAGTTTCTGTACTTGCCAGCAGCAGGGAGAGTGCAGAAAGTGTAGAGTTGCTTCTAACTATGCAGCTACAGTCGCGGTGCCGAGCCCAATTCCTACTCTTGCGTCCATGGAATTTTGTGCAAGTTTTGTGCGAGATGGGGTGGAGCCCTGGATCAGGGCAAAGGGAGAGGGATCTTAAGCGAAGCCAATTCGAGATATTCGCAATAGGAAAGCAGGAAGTCAGTCTTGAGGCAGTTTTGAAGCAAGGCAAGAGTATATGAATGTATAATTGACGATTTGTAACTGCTTAAGCGATTTTCGACCGAGTTTCTTCTATAATTTACGGATTTCCAACAAAGTTTTCCAATTATGGTCATTATCGGCAGGGAAGTTTAAGCCCTCTGAGTGTATTTCTCACATAAAACAAAATCTCGCTATTCCTACGGATCCAGAACTCAAACCTGCTAACATATCGAGATTTTGCACCGGTCTTGGGAACCGATAGCCAACCATTCAAGAAGAAAACAATGCATCGGATGAGGAGCTCTTTTTTTGATTACGCCAATTGTATGGGTTGAAGCCATTTTCAGCCTTTCTACTCCTCTAATTTATGGTATGTGTTTTAGTGTTTTTCAAACAAATGAAGGACCTATAATTTTTTCTTAGATGGCTCCGAACGCTGATGGTTTTCTTTTGACGAGGTATGAGGTTAGAACCAGTACAATGCTAGTATGCACTGTTAAATACTCGACTTTCGTGGTTGCAAAGGTTTTTAGGATCACGATTAAAGAGTAGCCCGTCCGTTCGGTGCCTTAGTTGGAAAAGTGTTGTTTCCAAGAAGGTTTTTTACATCGTAAGACCAATGGCTTACAAGACCGCCGTCCAAGAGAAGGATGACAGTCCTGACATTCACCGCGCGATCAAAGAGAAAGACGGTGTGGCCAAATATGCCTTTTTGACCACTTTGAACGAGGTTGCGCATGTCGACTGGCGGGTCGCCTTCGTCAGGTCCCGAGGTATAATTTTTCTTTCAAATAATTTTTTTAATTTATCCACCAACATGATTATACCCGCCTCAATGTACAAAATCGACAATGTTGATATATACAAGACATGTCCCCAGATTCCAGATGCGTATTTGCAAAGAACGACCTAGAGTCAACTTGCAATCCTACCTTCTGAGCGCACTCATCAGCAGCTCGGTATATAGAAACCGCCTATGTGCAGCTGCCAGAGAAACTATTGGGTTTCGACTAGATCAAAAAGCTTTATAAGCTAAGGAAGGCATCAATGCGAATGCATACTCATGTGGGATCCAAAGCAGGGATTGAACAACTGATGTTTAGATAATACTGAATATATGGAGCAGCCAACTTAATTCGAAAATGAAACACCAGGAGATGGCAAACCCGATGACGATTAGATATTTCGTTATTTGACTATGAAGAAGTCGGAATAGCAAAAAAAAAAAGAAAAAACGGGAGCCGAGGTTTTGAAAGTTGAGCTAATCAATTATAGGGGCGTAGAAAACCTGGCGATCAATCTCTTCGTCGATTTTAAAGCCACCTTCGACAGCACGAATAGGAATTTGGTCTCCCCGCGCTGTTAGTTCTGATTTCTCCAGGCTTGATAAAGTAGCAAAGCGAATAGGTCTGGTAGGAAAGGAGGACAAGACGAAATATCCCACCTCACTGTTGATAATCATAAGTTTGAAATCGTGGATAATTATTTCGTCTATCATGGGACCAGCATTGACACCAATAATAATGTCAGCCTTGAAATGCAGCGCAGAATCACTCTTGCCAACAGGTGCTACTTTGGACAGAGTTGAATTGAAAAGTAAGTTCATCTCCCGACGAACGAAACCAAACTCTACAAGTCCCTCATCGCCCCCGTCCTGCTATATGGTGCGGAAGCATGAATGATGACAACAGCTGATGAGTCGGCTTTGGGAGTCTTCGAGAGAAGTTTTGCGATTATGGTCCTTTGCGCCTTGGCAATGGCGAATACAGCAGACGATGGAATGGTGAGCTGTACGATTTATACCGCGACATTGATATAGTTCAACGGATCAAGAAACAGCGCCTCCGCTGGCTAGGCCATGTGGTCCGGATGGATGTGAGTACTCCAGCTTTGATAGTTTTTGAAGCAGTATCCGCCGCTGGAAGCAGAGGAGGAGAAAGATATCCACTCCTTTGGAAAGACCAGGTGGAGAAGGACCTGGCTGCACTTGGTATGCCCAATTGGCGTCAAACAGCAAAAAGAAGAAACGAATGGCGCATTGTTGTTAAGTCCGCGATAATCGGTGTACGCCAGAGAGAAGAAGAAAAAGGCCTCTACGATAATTTTTTTCCACTTTTCCTATATTCAAATTTTGAAATCTCTGATTGTCAACTCACCTTCGTCAAACTATTCGCATATTTATCAACCAGCTCTCGCGTGAATTTCGCGGCATCCGCGCCGCATATCTTCCGTGCAGCATCCTCAGAGCAATCGACGAGCTCATTTATTGAACTGCATTGAAAACAAAAACAAAAACAAAAAAAATTTGAAAAAAAATGTTAATTCGAGGAATAAAAGAGTTTTGAAGTAAAGTTCTATTATTATTGTAGATAAAATTTCAACGCACCAACAAATTGTCTTTATATTTTCATTCAATGTGTTATTCTCATGACTCTCCTGATTCTTGTTCGGTTTTAAGAAAACCATCGTTTCCTTATACCGATTGGCGCAGACCTCAAATTCCTTTTTAGCAATTTCCGAACAGTGAGCGTGCTTCAGGTATTCTAAAAGTGAATTTCAAAAAAAAAAAAAAGGTTCAAAAAAATTTCAAATAATCAAATACGAATAGTTATATAATAAAATGTTCAGCATTGAAAATAAATTAATTATAAAAAAAAATAGTATTCCCCCCAACTCACCATCTTGAAACTCGCCTTGGTTACACAAATCCCGTATAAACTGGTTTGTTCCGTGATACAACTTATTGAACTGATTTCGCTGCTGCAAAGGCATGCAGCGGCGGGTATAGCTTTGAATGCAACGAACGCCTTTTTTCAACTCGCTACAAAGAAAAAAAAAATTACACAAATTAAAATATTATTAAAATTTTATAAAATAGGTTTTTTTTATCTTTTAAAAGATATGCAGAGAGACTTTTTCATTATACATGTAGTTGGTCTACTTTTGAACCTGATCTCAGACTCATAGCCTGGCCGTTTTCACAAACAGCCGAGAGAGGTTCGAGTGAGCTCCGCAGCCCACCCTGCCATCTGAGTTTTCAACCATAAGTGGATGTGGATCTTTGATCCAGAACTTTTACGTTTTTCCGTTCATTCCTCTCTGGGATTTTTGTTGAGAAAGTGTTGTCAAAACAGAAAACAGAAATGGTGCAGTACACCTCTTCCCAGAAAATGTAGTGTAGAATTTTAAGGTCTCGCCGTCTTGTGCCATGGTGGCCGGTGCTAAAATAATATCTATCTTGCAGCTTTGTATAGCCAAGAAACTACATATGTCCTTGTTTTTTGCCTACTGTTGGCTTGCAGGCGTGAGGCGTTCTAGAAATATGGCAGAAATGTTTCTTAAAAAGATTTTTCGACTGGATAATATTAAAACCATCCGTATATGAGGGGTTAGCAAAAAATCGGTAGTTGACCAAAAAAATAACTAAAAAATTATTTTTATATTTATACGTAACATTTGTCCATTTATATCTTCCCTACTTATCTTCTCTTCGATTTCAAACAGTCTACAACATTTTGCTTGCTAAGCTTATCAAGTTCAACATTAACGGCATTAATCACCTCCTCGTGGCTATTAAAGAACTTTCTTTTCTATTTTTTTTTTAATTTTTTGTAAATAACCAGACATCACTAGACGCTATATCCAGGGAATATGGTGCTGGACATATTTCTTCATTGCCAGAATTCGCAATAAAATTACTCGTTATATCAGTAGCGTGGGATGAACAAAAAAAGCAGCGCCGCGAGTCCTCGTTCCAATAAATTTTTGAAAACTTTTGGTGAGCACTCTTTGTTATACCATTTTGCAGTTACCCTTTGACCCTTTTCCAGTGGAAAGCAGCTACGATTTTAGTTCGGGTGAAATAAACTGACATCAATACTTTTGCAGCTGAATTTTATTGCTTAGATTTTACGGGTAGGTTTGCTCCGGCTGGGCTCTATACCGTGTTCTATTGTTTGGTTTCTGGAACGTACTATTAGAACCAAAAACCATCACCATTAACGACTTTACTAAAGTTTCCAGACTGTCCAATTTCGAACTTGTTTATAAAAAATTGAACAAAATACACTCGAGTCTCTTTTTGGGCCTCATTTAAAATGCGTGGTACCCAACGTGCAGATTTCTTGGTATATCCCAGATGATTACATAATATTCACAAACAGCCACGGCATTCAAGCCCAATTCATTAGCAATCGTTTCTTGTGTCAATCATGAACAATATCTTCGTCAATTTGGGACTGCACCAGTTCTACAGTGACGTCATCAGTGGAAAGTTTTGGTCTACCTAATCGGGGCTCGTCCTCTACATAAAAATGTCCGGTCTGGAATCTTCTGAGTAACTTAGAAATAATCTTTAAAGTTCCACATGCAATTTAGCATTCACTGAATATTTATATTGGCTTTAAATTACGTCGAAGCCCAAAGAAAATAAAATGGCGAATTTCTGTTTTTAGATTTTACGAAAACAAATTGAAAGTCACCAACTGTCCGAAGTTTTGTTAATCCACTCGTAATTAACGTATGAGAACGTTCATGCAAGCTGAGGCAACTAAGCAATTTTTTTCATGTTCATACACATTTTATTGAGTAAAAGATTTGCCGATACACAGCTGAAACTGTTTCATTTTTTTATTCTGTTTTAAAATCTTATATTTTTCTGGTAATAAACATCTCATCTTAGTTCAATCAGGTCTTTTCACTCCCTTGGGTTTCTTTTTTAACTTACATTTCTTTAAATACATTGTTAATTAAACGACAATTAACTTGAACTGTCTGTGTGAACAGTTTTTTAATAGTTTTTTGTAACTCTCCTGCCACATTTGGAGGAAGTCGAGCTTGAAAATATTTGTTTGAGTTCGTGTCAATATACTCAAATATGTCTACGTGGGACTCTTTTCTTGTACAATCAAAACGTAATGACAATAATCGAGTTTTAGAGGGCTAAATCCAAATATATGAATTTTCTTTCTTTCTCTCTAGATGTAGTTCTATTCCCAAACAAAAACAGATAGATTGTTTTGAGAGAAAACATTCTAAAGTTTGATATGGATTGCATGAAATAACCCAATCAAATTTTTGTTGTTGTAACCGCAAAAATATTCCCCAAAGTACTTTTTGGTGAATGTTGCGGGAATGACAGTCCTTGGCCGGATAAAAATTCGGGTTGTTCCGGTATAAAGACCCGACTGTCGCGAGAACTATTGGATTTTAGTAGCCTCCTATGACAGGCAAGCCATACCTTGGGTAAATTCTTGTGCCCCTAACCTGCAGGGGTGGTCGCCTCTCAGTAGAGAATGTCAACCCCTCCGAGTGTATTTCTGACATGATACAAGCTCCTCATAAAACGGTTACAAAGCGCCCATTCTATACATACAAATATGTGTTTTGCGCTCGGATGGAGTTTGCGCGGGCAGGAATGCAGCAAATACGAGTTTCTCCACTCGCTGCCTCAATTCTAACAAGTGATCTTCGGTTTATTAAGCGAAGCTAAATCACATCGGATGATCGTGAGTATCGGATTGATATTAATGGCGGTTTGAGCACAATTTGAGCTGCTCTCTGCTGCTCTCTCTGAAGGCACCAGACGATTACTGAACTCTTTGCACAAATTGAGCCGCAAACTGCCCATCATAAATTCTATTTTTTTTTTTCAAATAATAATATTTATTTATTGAATTTGCTTCGACATCGGAAGTCTAACAATAAGTAATAAAATCTTAGGCTAAATTAAAATATACAACCCTTAAGTAGGAATATGATGCTGGCTTGACGTTGCGCTTAGGAAGGCTGCTTTGTCTCTTCTCTCCAAACCAGCCAAAGGGCTGGTTAAGCAGTTTTATTAGGTATTTCTGTGCTGCAATTTCAATCTCCTCTTTGGTGGTAGGTACAATATATTTAGATCTCTATGGATATGTACCATAGTGTGCCCGTTATTACTCTTAACGTTTTCGATTGGAACCTCTGAATTATATCTATACTCGTCGTGCAAGCTATGCCCCATAACTGGATTCAATATATTCATATCGGCCTTAAGAGGACTTTGTTGCTAAGACTAAGTCCAGACTTCTTGTTTAAAAGCCAATGTAAACAGTCCGATTTGAGTTTTAGCTGCAGCTTTTAGCAGCAATGTATCGTCTACAGGTTAAGCGCCTGTACAAGTGGATTCCGAAGTATGTAATTTCGTCAGCGTCGGGATCAGCTTTCGGCATCGTCAGAGTGTTAAGCTTAACAGTTGGGCACGTTTTTGGTTTTAAGGTACAAGTGATGTCTTTTGCGCTTTGGCAATGGCGAATATCGCAGACGATGGGACGATGAGATGTACGAGTTATACGACGACATTGATATACAATAGTTCAACGGATCAAGAAATAGCGGCTGCGCTGGCTAAGTCTTATGGTCCGGATAGATGCGAATACCCCAGCTTTGAAAGTTTTCGAAGCAGTACCCGCCGCCGGAAGCAAAGGAAGAGGACCAGGCTGTACTTGGTATTTCCAATTGGCGCAAAAAAAAGCAAGGGACGAATGGCGCATTGTTGTAAATCGGCTATAATCTCGTAAGCGGTTTCTACACCAGTAAGGTAAGTAAGTTAAGTAAAAGTGATGTGTTGGTACTTGTATTCATTTACTTTTACGAATACAATTTTAAAAAAAATTTCTTCAAGTTCCGGTACTAAATTCTCCGCATTTCCTAATTTTCTGTCATTGAAGATGATTCACAGAAAATGACCTCTCTTTAGATAGGAGCTATTGATCGAAAGTGGAGCTTAAATCTCAAAATTCAGACAATGATTTGACAAATATTCCTCTGATTTTGGGCTCGCGGTAAACAATTCGGCAAAAGTTAAACTCATAGAGAAAATGCAAAGTTGAGTATAAAACTTTTGTTAAGGACCTCACCAAACGGCGCTTCAAGTGCGTAATCCTCAACATCTTAAACTTCAAATAAAGATTTTTTTTTTGCTATTGCAAAAATATTATATTACCCTTAAGAAGTTAATCAACTTCCAAAGATGTTTTTTGTTATGCAATTTAAATAAAAATGTGGTTTCATTTCCACATGAAACATACTCGTTTACATACATATATTTAAGCTAGTACTTTGAACCTTATCAAACACATCAATGCTCCTACCAAAAGTCAAGTTGGAAGTTTTTGATTTTAAACATCAAGATTTTTCTTCTCTCTTTACCACTAACAACATACATACACGTATATCTATCAATGATACTTCTGTTTGCTTGCCCCTCTGCCCCGTCTATGCCACCACCGTCCACTTGTCAATTCATTCGTGCGTTTCCCTACGTGCTCACTGATAACTGCACTCATACGAAAGATGGATACATTTCGTACAACATTTTTCATGGCATTTTTCTACGCTTAAACAGACCAAAGCGAAACCAGCACACCACACAAACCACCCCAACCAACCGACCCCATACTCAGCTAGTAGCTTCCGCTGTGTTGTGCCTATTTAGTTACTGTAAAAATTTTGTGTTGATTGCAGCTACTCTATTGCTGGTAGCATTGTAAATACCGTTATCATTCAGTGGTCAACCTTTAGCAGTTGGCATTCAATATTCAGTACATCTGTCCACTTGCCACTAAGACAATGTGAGTAGAGACTGTTTCCACTACAAAAAAAAAAAAAAAAAAAAAAATTAAAAATGGTCAAAATTCACTACATAGACATGACATACATACACGTATACATGTACATACGAGTATATGTATGTATTTTTAGATACTTATAGCGAGTTAAATATTGAGTTCATTTAAAATTCCAAGCGAATCATTTGTTTTGCAAAACGAGTCTGAGAAAAAACTTTCGGTTCGTTACATAAATAAGTAAGGGCGATGTTGTAAATTGAATTTTCCAAGAAAGAAAAATTTCAAACAACGAAATGCTGGTTGTATAAGTTTTGAATTAATTTTTTAATACATTAAATATAATATGAAACCAAAAAAAAAAAAAACAAAAAAAATATTCCTTTTGGTAGCTGACAACTTGGTGGTTGCTTGACTGATGAGCATTAATTTGTTTATCTTAAATTGTATTATTTCAAGCACGTTGACATTTCTGGAGTTTTGTGGTTTTGCAGAAAAAAATTTCTTCTCGTCTGCGCTGCTTTGAATAAACATGGAATCTATTTCAGTGCACCTGTCTTGTTTTTTTGTTGATGTCAAAGGTTGTAGTAGATTAGGGTTAGTACGAGTAGGTGAACCGTAGGAGAACTGCTCGGGGAAAAAAAAAAATAAATAATACTACAGGCAACAATAGAAGCACTTGGAGTGTGTGAGGTTCGTACAAGAAGCAATAAAAACCTTATTAGATGTACTGAAAAGTAAAAAATAATCCATTATTTTTGCAATGTATGGCTGTAGTGATCTGTATGTAGAGTTCTATGAGAGCAATTGGAATACGCTAGAAGGCGTTAGAAAGATGTTATTTTGTGGTAAAAAATATAATGCACGAAGTGTTGATCACTAACGAGTAAATCAGTAGCTCAAAAGCACATACCAAAGGTGGACCCCAGCAAAGAGCAAATGTGCTTTATTCTACAATCTTTCTTCGATAAATTCGAAAACCCAAGTCAGAGAACTGAAAAAATGCGGTCGTGATACTCTAAACGTCGATCATGTACAATTTTGTTTTCTTCGATTTCATTCCGATTGTTTTGATGTAAAAGCTGAGCCACGGTGTGAAAGACCATTTGTCTCAAATGTTGATAAAATAATGGAAATCGTCAAGTCTGGCCGTCACACGAACACTGTTCCGACTGCTTAGGAACTAAACATTGCACAGCAAGCAGTTCGGTACATACATGAGAGAGACTGGATAAACAAAAAAGCTCAATTTTTGGGTTTCACATGAGTTAATGTGAAAAAAACTTCACGGAAATAATTTCCATCCACGAATCGCTGCTGAATCGTTACGAAATCGAAACATTTCTGGAGCGTATCGTGACTGAGAAAGAAAGTGGATAATTTACAACAACGGCAAATGAAAACAATAGTGGTCGTGGGACAGTGAGGCAGCGCAAAAGTTCTCCAATCTAAGATTGATCCCCAGGAAGGTGTTGGCTGTGTGTTAAAGGTTGAATTGGCAAGGAATGATCCACAATGAACTACGTCCTTACGGCCAAATTGTTAGTTCGGAAATGTTTGAGTTAATCGGTGAAGAATTGTCCTCAAAGAAGCATATTAAATTCGATACCCAATTTGTGGCTAATAGAGACAAGGATTTCTATGGGAAATACATAATTGTATTACCTCCGAAATGGCAAAGGTCGTAGAGAAAAATGGGGCATATTTGACAAAAGTTGCTAAGACTGATATTCAGTTGAGACTTTTTTAATTCATATAGCCCAAAGGGGTTAAACTCAGAGAACCATTCCTTATGAACGCTACAAACTCACCGTGATAATCGAAGAAAGAACTGCGCAAAACTTTAATAATTCTTTAAGCTTGGGGTGCGTTTAACGGTTTTGAACTCTCCTGCGCTCATCCGGTTGCATGATTGGGTTTTGGTCTCTGGATGTCATAAAAAGATGCCAATAGCACGTCAACTTTATGATTACGCACCACATTCATTATTTTTTTATTTTACTTTTTTTTTTTGGAATTTTTGCTCTATGTTCAAACTCACCGATTTGCCGACATCATTAGTAACTTTTTTGAAAACGGTTCGACGTTTCCCTATACTGTTTTGATGTTGTTGTTTTTGTAAATGCAAAAATATTCCCCAAAGTACTTTTCAGTACTGTCCTTGGACGAATAAAAAACCGGGTCCTTCCGGTATAAATACCAGACTGCCGTGGTAGCTATTGAATTTTTTAGTAGCCTCCTATGATAGGCATTCCTTACCGCTGGTAAATTCTTGAACCCCTAAATGTTTTGTGATTTTCATCGTTTATTGTTCCAGGACGAGTAATTATCAGTCTAACGTTGGTTTTTAGAAATGTAAGCCGTAATTTTTGAATACTTTATAGGTACTTCTTTCCAATTTTTTTCTATTGCTCTGTAACTACAACTTAAGTGAAGCTCTGCTTTGGATCGCAGTCTTGTATGACACAGCCGAACAGTCTAAATATGACAGTGAATCCTCACAGCTGACTCACAAATATTCAATGTCTTAAAGCTAAACTACTTGTAGTTGTTAGTTGGTAACGAGAGTTTATCTCTCCATAACCAAAAAAGGTATGTACAATACGTTTGATAATCTTCTGAAAGAATAACTCTTACTGGGTTCCGGGTCTAAACATCGCTCTATAATATCTCAAATTGGAGTTGTATAGCAGAGACGAGAGAGAACCTAAGACCTCAAAACTCTTCTTCTGCGAACAATTTTTAGAGACCTAAGATAATTGCCGTTTCCTTCCATTAGCTCCTAAGTGAACGGGTTAGCCAAATGGTAGGTATTTCGTACCGCCAGTCGATAGCCAGGGTTTTGAGTTCGATTAACAACCGAAAATTGAAGAAAATTTATTTGTATACAAAATTAAGTTAATTTTGCTAATTTTTGTTTACTTTGCTGTGCTACAATTAATTATTTAATTAAATAATTTATTTTAAATTTTACTTTGTTAAATATTCTTTAATTTGTTTTGACTTGATTTCGTTTTATTTTATTTTGTGTTATTTAATTTTGGTTCAATTTATTTTATTTTGTTTTAATTTATTTTAGTTTATATAATTGTATTTTTTATAATATGTTAGTTTATTTTATTTTATATTTTTATTTTATTTCATTTAATATTAATTTATTTTTATTTTTTAATTTTTTTTTTTTCACATTATTTTAATTTATTTTAGTTAATTTTATTTAAATTAGTTTATTTTATACTATTCATTTTATATTAATTTATTTAATATTTTTTTTTGAATTTGTTTTAACTTTTTTTTTTTATTAATTTTTTTCATTTTTTAATTTTATTTTAATTCTATTTATTTTAGATCATTTTACTTAAACTAGTTTATTTTACTTGTTTTTATTTTCTTTTATTTTATTTTAGTTTATTCAATTGTATTTTTTATAATATTTTAGTTTATTTTATATAATTTTTTTATTTTATTTCATTTTATATTAATTTATTTTTTTTTATTTTTTTTTTTTAATTTTTTTTTTATTTTTTTTTTTTTATTTTTTTTTATTTTAATTTATTTTAGTTAATTTTATTTAAATTAGTTTACTTTACATTGTTTTATTTTAATTTATGTTATTTTATTTTATTTTAGTTTATCTTATTTTCTTTCATTTTATTTTATTTAACTTTCTTTTGTTTGATATTTTTTACACTTTTTTATATTAATTTAATTATTTAGTTAATTTTGTTAATTTTTCCTATCGCAGTCGAACCCCAGCAAGGAATGCCAACCCCTCCGAGTGACTATAAATAAAAGATACTGATTAAACAAACATTTGCAAGGTCCCTAAACTAAACTTCAGCAAAAACTCGAACCGCGGTTATCTCTCAGCTGTTTCAGTTTAAAAATAAAAATTGGGCTAATGCAAACGACTGCGGAGAATTTTCAAACAAACCACTTTGTGCCTGTAATTCCCTAAACGCATATCATAAAAAAATGACTGCGCCTAAGAATATGCCACAGGAGCGTAAAAGGAGATCTCAACATAAAACCATACATATCAGCAACCAAATCACTACGAAGCAGTAAAGCATAACATTGGGCATAATAATTCTCACAATAGTGAGCTCACAAATTTGTGTTATGGTCAGCAGAATCGGTTTAATATTTTTTTTTTTTTATAAGCAATTAAATTTGTGAGTTAATTTATTTTTTATTTTTATATAATTTTTTTTTTTGTGGAAATTCTCCATGCTACAAAATTACAGTTATGAATTCAATTAATTGAAATTTCGTGCGAAAATAATCTCAGCCAACCACATTTTATACTTATGACAGCTGATTGCACTAGCCTTAATTGACGATGGCCTCCAGGTGATAGCGCCAATTCTCAGCAAAGAAAAAGGCAAAAACAAAAGTGTTGAAAGAAAATTTACTTTCATATTCACTAGAAATTAGAAGGTAATATTAATTTTGCTACTAAAAACCGCAAATTGTACAGCGCAATTAATTTCTGTTACCGAGGCAAGAAAAAATACAAAAAGTCGAATACACTTAGTAATTACTTGCACCCTGCCATTAGCCGGCTTTGTGCTGATGAGCAGCGCGACGCGTAGACAGTTTTCCATGTACCAGGTAAGGCATACAATACCAGACAACTGAGATACAAAAGGTGTGTATGTATGTGTGTGTATGTGTGTACCTGCTTTTCGGGGTGACGAGGTGAAGAAAGGAATGTAGAATTAAATAATTGAAAAAAGTCGAAGAGAAGAAAGAGGGAAAGGCAAAAAACTTTTTCTTTTATCGTTGATAGCGTTGACTTACTTGCAAAGTTTATCCAGTTCGTCCTTCTTGGCAGGGCCAATGGATAATTCGGAGGTTAAATGTAGCATATCCAGAGGCTCAGCACATTTCGTAAACTCCTCCTGGCCGCACTCCTCGCCATGAGCGCCAGCAAATAACACAAATGCAACTGAAACGATACCAAAAATACGGAAATATGTACATTTCTATGTATATATGTATGTAGTAATATGCAGCAAAGTTACAGAAAATGTCGTCACATTAGAGATGACAATAATTGTGGCCGGATGGCAGGATGGGACAGATGGGCAGATGATACTGTACCTGCAACAGAGGTGGAGCATGTGGAAAATAGCATGAAACTTTAATACAAAATGAGAGAAACTTGGAGTTGACACAACTTGCAACCAGTAACTGCTGCTGCTGCTGCTTCTGCTGCTAAAGCTGCAATCAGTAGCTCAGCATCGACACAATCCGACTCAGCCACCTACACACATACTCGCACATACTTACGTACAAACATAAACTTATATGCGCTCAGTGTGTGACTGTGACTGTCTCAACGGAACACAAACCAGGCGACGGCGACGACAACGGCAACTGCGACACTCAATGTGGCTCAACAACAAAGTTGAGAATGTGCACCGAGGGTAATAAAAAGCTCTGTACGTTAAATTGCTGCCAAGCGTAGTGTATAACAACAATCACACCAACAACAAAGTAACACAGCTGCGCGACGAGCAACAGAATGATGGCGATATAGCCATAGCAGCGACACTAGAAGCGACAAATAGGAGTGAGCAGCGAGTAGCGCCCAACGACGCAGCACACTGACCACATGGAGCTCGATTTGGTTGGGTTAAGGGACAATGGGTGGTAGCAATGGGTAGTGGTTGTAGAGTAGAGTCTCAAAGAGCTGTCGTTTTGGTGCTTGCTGGTGAAATGCGGTGTTTTTGGGGGTAAAAGGCCACCAAGCGGTTAAATTGAAATATTGCACTTTTTATTGCAGTTCCTTTGGTCAATAACGCTGATAAATGGAGCTTGGGTAGATTCCAAATCGTATTTATCGCACATGTTTGTTTGTTTGTTTGTTTGTTTGTGGTAGTGCTTATGCGAGCGGATAAATACTTGCATTTATGTATGAGTGCTTTTAGTGTGTGTAAGTATATGTGTGTGTGTGAATGCGCATTTATATGCCTTAAATCCTATTCATGTTACTGCTTCTTCCCTTCGCACTACTCATACACATACTACATACACACGTTATTTCTAAATATATTTTGTTGTGATCACTTTGGACAAATGAGAGATGCAGCGTTTTGATAAAACTTGCCCAAGACGTGCCAAAGTTAAGAATCTCAACAGATGCATGTGCATACATATGTAGCAACTAAAGAAGATATTCAAGTGTTTCGCATATTTCGAAAGGATTTTGTAAGAAGTAACAATTGTTTCTGGATATTTATAGTGCGTGTGCTTGAAATTACATAAAAAATATGTATGTGTACATTTTTAAAATTTAAAAATAAACCTATTCGAATTTAATTTAAAAAATTTCTTTGTGTACTATACTAAAATATCACATTTTATTTGTTTATAAAATTTAATTAATTTTTATACATAATTAATATGTATTTTTAATTTATTTTATTTTTCTCATTTTGTTTTTATTTTATTTTATTTTATTTTATTTCATTTTATTTCATTT